CTGATTAATATATTTGTATTTATTAATTTTTTCTGCTGAAAGTGAACAAAATAATTAAAGAACATGTGTGATTTATTTGAGTTGGCAGATTCAGAAAACTTATAGAGAATGCCATGTTTTTGTTGGCTCAAAGTTCATTAAAACAGCTATTTCAAAAGCTGATGTGATTTTGTTGTTATATTTATTACTTGAATATGGGGCTGTCGCGATTGGTCGATATAATCGACTGCGTCGATGCTGATAATTAGTCAACATCAATATTTTTAATCGACTGATTTTATATTATTTTACCTTTTAAATTTCCTTTTCACGCTTTGACTAAAATAGCAACTATTTCCTCCGCACCACTAGTATGAGCAGTGCTTAATTTGTAAATTGTAAATTGCAACATTAATGGACCAACTTAAGTGATTAATAGCTTGCATCAGTTGCTTTTATAGTGCGCATGTACTCTAAAAAAAAAATCATGGTTTTTATAAAATCATTATTTAATTTTAACCAAACATTTTTGTAAGTGTTTGGGTAGCTTTTGTGTAACCCAGCTCCTGGACAGTCGCAACAACAGAGCAGTTGTAATGAGTGCAGACTGCATCCTTTTCAGACCAGTTCTCAGTGCCGCCGTCAACTTGCATTTCTTTGTTCAAATATAGGTTTGTGTATATTTTATCTATAAAACAGTTTCTTTGCTGTAGATCATTTTATTTTATGCAAAGCAAACAGGGACGCGTATCAGTCTTTTCGACTGATTACTTTTAAATGTTTTTTTTTTTACTTCTAAAATTGTTGTTAAACGAGTTTAAATGTAAGAAATATTGTATTTAAGCGGTAAAATGTTATATTACGAACTGTATTTAACAAAAATAAAGGCAATTATCCACAAATTTGACGGTTAAGATTAGCCCAATGTGTGTTCTGTTTATTTATTTGTTTGTTTTTATTTTTTTAACCTAGTGGAACAAATGAAAAACACAATAAACGGCAGTGCATTTACATGCACATGAGATTTTGGCAATATTGCGATTAAACTTTACCTCATGTAAATGCAATACTTCGATCTAAACGATGCGATTAAGCTTATAATCGCAGCATGCATAATCTTATTAATATAGGTGGCGTACGCTGATTTTAATCGAAATATACAGGCATTTAAACACCTTAATCGCATTATTGCTGCTCTGACCAAAGTGCGCATGTGCTCAGATGTACACGGATGCCGTGCTGTTCACACAACTTCCTGAATGAACTTGGTGACATTATTCTGAAGTGTTTCTTCCACTCCGAATAGCTAAACAACACAGCTCGCTGCGCAGCCTCCGTTCCATATGTCCACCCAGAGACGGCACAAAAAAAAACAAACAAACAAAAAAAGAAACATGCAGCGAAGGCAACAGTTACCAGTGGCATTTTCATCACTGCACAGAATAAACAGATTAAAACAGTGGCCAGTAAACGTGCCTAATGTATGAGAGTTCATAATTTTTGCTGAGGGATATGAGAATAATGTTGATAAAAATAACCACACTTAACGAATAGTCAGAATAATGAAAATGGCATGTAAACGGGAATGAAGAGGTTTGTTTGTGTCATGTAAACATCTTACTGCGATTAAGTCCTTATTCTGATTATTGGAAATAAATCGCATTATTGATGCACATGTAACGTATGTATTCAACACTGCAATGTCACACAAAATTAAGCTAATGCCATTCTTTCCTTTCTTTACAGAAGTAGTTTATTACCGTGGAAATAAAACTAAAACCTGGCATGGATATCACAAAAATCGAATTTCTTACTTTTATTATCATTTTATATTTAAAGGGGATCAAGTTATTGACATTATCATTATTATACATGCTTTTTCATTAAATATATGCACGCTACATGTCAGCACAAACGTTTTTCATAGGTGCATGAGGAGGGGGATCCACCAAAATGAGGTGTTGGATCGAATTTCAGAGGTGCCGGATGTTCTTAAAATGTTCTTAAGTAAAATTGCAGATTTTTGGCTGAAAATTAATCGTTTAGATTAATCGATTTATCGATAAATTAGTCGATAGATTAATCAATAAAAAAGTCGTTAGTGGCAGCCCTACTTGAATACGTATAACAACATTTTAACGAATTGCAAAAGCTGAATAATCGTTCAAAACTTACTGATTAGTTATTGGAATAATTGAGGATTATTTAATTAATCATTCTAATAATCATTAGACTAATTGATTATCAAAATAATCGTTTGTTGCAGCCCTAAAGACGTGTGACTAATAGAAGATCGATAAGTCACAGTGTGACCTCTTAGCTGAATTAAAAGGTGGCAAACTTTTGGAGTCTCCAGTCTCATGCTCCAGTGGAGTAGATTGTTGTCATGAATCCGGTCCCTGTCATTCCTCCCACTCACCACCAGAGGTCTCCATAACCATTCAGACTATTCAATACTGGACTCCATTTCCCATAAACCCTCTGCCTAGGAACTAATCACTTACACACCTGTTTCCAAAGAGTCAGACTATTTAAGCTGAACTCATACACACTCAAATGTAAAAGATTGGATGACCAATAATTTTCTCCTATTAAATTTATGTCTCTTTTCGTCTCTCTGTTTTTGCTAACTAGGATTTACACAAGCTTCAGTCTGGATCCAGAACACCTGAGAAGAGATGATGCCAACCCCTCAGAGGACCTCAGATGATGCCAACCCTGAAACAACATACAGAACTACCACATTTTGCTATAAGTTTGATTGCATCATATAATAATTGCTGTTAATGGTGTTCATCATCTGTTTGAATACATCTTTAATTGATTTTTCCATACATTTCTGCCATATGTACATTAACTGACAGTCACCACTGATAAGCTACCACTAAATATTGTAGAAACTTAATTTGCTGTAAAGTTGCTTTGCAACGATTTGTATCATAAAGCGCTGTACAAATAAACTTGAATTGAATTGAATAGACAGACAAATAAAGTCCTTTCTAAAAGAAAGCAAATGTCTGACATCAGTAACTTCATTTTAAAGACATGTTGTCAGGTACATAAAACAAACCATACTCACAGTTGAGCAGAAACTCAAAGAGTTCTCAACCAAGGACTTTCAAAGAGCAAGCCGGTAGCCGAGTTCAACCGTATGGCCTCCCTCTACCAAACGAACTGACTTACTCTGTGGTGGCCGAGCTTATATGTCCGGATACCTCCAGGCAATAGCGCCCTCAAGGTGCTCCTAGTGGTACTACATGTGACTTAAATACATCATACTATGAAATCAACAAGAATAAAGGAGCTAAAGTACAATAATAAAACCAAGTAACGTTTTGTCCGTTACAGATGTTAAATTGTTTGGTTAAAAAGTGATTTCATTTCGCAATGGCTACAAGCCAATGGTTTTGTTCATATTTTGCTTATAATTTTAAATGACAGATGTTGTATTTTTTTTTCTATGCGACACTTTTCCTACTGTGTTGACAGCAAAATGTTAAACGAATTTTGTATTTTGACAAGACAAATAAAAATAACTAATAGGCTACAATTTTTGTACAACCTACTTTTTTTTTTTTTTTTTCACTGCAACACTTTTTCCAATTGTGTTGACAGCAAAATGTAAAACTAATTTGATTCTGGACAAGACGAATAAAATAACAAATACAATTTCTGTGCAGACTACATTTTTATCTATCATCTCACTCTTACAGTAGTGGAAATTTAAATGTGAGATTCTGGAAACGAGATCTACATTTAGTACGGTCGGGTCAGGAAGAAAATTATTCCAAGCGGACAGCGGGTGAACAAAGAGTGAATATATAGCAGGAGCGGGTGGGTGCGGATACGGAATATAACCTTGTGCAGACTATAGCCTGATGTTCCCTTTTTATGTTGCACTTTGAAAAACCCAAATCAGAAAAAAGCCTCTTTTATGTTGCACTTTAAAAAAGGTTGTTATTATAAGTAAGTGCGCTAAACCGCCAAACCGCATGAGTTGTTGCTTCTTCACCGCGGTAAGAATAAATCCCATACCGTCACAGCCCTACGTTGATGTCCAACTCCGATGTCACGCCCTTCCATTACAATTGTATATGTGTACATTTTCAAATTATTACTTATTATATGTTGAATTTATGTTTTTAAGAAAGACGCCGCAGAGTGTGACGCCATATCACGAGCGTTTCAGTGTCTGTTGAAATTTCACATGGTCAAAGCCTAGATTGACTGCAGCTTAAACTGGTTTTAAATGAAGAATATTTAGCATTAGCTGTGTCCTACTTGTTTCACTCAATGATTTTCCTCAATTTAACAAATAGGGCATTTCTTAAAATTGTGACATCATTTGGGCTCTTTTCTACAGCATGATTGGAGGACAAGAAAATAATCTCAATCCATTTTTACACAAACAGTACAGTGTTGACTGCATTCATCAACCCTGTTACCAAAGTTACTGTAAGAAAAATAATCTCTGTAACTATGAATAACTCCAATAATTTAATAAAAATACAACTTTATCAGTAACTATAAATAAGCTTTTGCATAATTTATGCTAACAGCCCAGTCAGCCATTCTGGAAAGTTAATTTACTTGATGCATTTTTGTCGACTGTTTATTGCAAAAAAATTATATTGAGAAATACCCACATTTTTGGTCAAATTGATACAAAAACATAAATACAATATAAAATAAAAGAGCTAAAATTACATTCAGATTGATCTGATGTTGACAATCAAAATGAAAGTTTCTCAAACCTCACTTTTTGACCATTTGTTGAAAACCTAAATATGAAGAAAACTTTGTACCCATTTCATAGTAGGGCTGGACGATATGGCCTAAATTTATATCACGATATATTTCTTAATTTCGGTCGATACGATATAATTCCAATATCGATATGAACACTATTAAAAAAGCCTCATAAAAACGGCCAAGAATGGCCACAACAGATGTCTGTACCTACAAACTTATGAAAAATTAATTTGCCAACTCTATGAAACCTACTCCTATAAAACTTCACAGTGTGAACACTTGTAAGGTTTTTCTCCAGTGTGAATCCTCTGGTGCCGTTTTAAAACATTCACTGAAGCAAAAGTCTTCCCACATGTAAAGCACACATGATCTCTCACAGCGTTATGTAATTTCTGATGGGATTTTAAACTTTCCAGCTGTGAAAAATTCTTTCCACATAAAGAACATGAATGTGGCTTCTCCTTCGTATGAACTATCAGGTGTGTCTTCAGTTCTGATGCCCTAAGAAATGTTTTGCCACATTGATCACATGTGAACGGCTTTTCTCCAGTGTGGATCTTCATGTGTCGTTTAAAGTTTGATGAATGTATGAAACTCTTTCCACACTGATCACATGTGAACGGCTTCTCTCCAGTATGAACTCTCATGTGAAACACAAGACTTCGTCTGTATGGGAAACTCTTTCCACATTGATCACATGCATACGGTCTCTCTCCAGTATGAACTCTCATGTGAATCTTAAGACTTTGTTTGTATGGGAAACTCTTTTCACATTGATCACATGCATGTGGCTTTTCTCCCGTGTGGATTCTCATGTGAATCTCAAGAGCGTTTTTGTATGTGAAACTCGTTCCACACTGAGTGCAGGTGAAAGATTTCTCAGGTCTTCTTTTCTTTAAAAATTTATTTTTAGTTTTTGAGTGACTCAAAGGTTTTTCTTCAGGTTTGACATGAGGTTTCTCCTCCACTTCACTCAGTTCTTCACTCTCCTCGTTCTCTTCCATCGGGTCTGAAATTAGAAAAAAAAAACAGTTTACATTTTCAGTAAAACAAAAAAATTCAAAAACAGGAATATGAATTGAAAGGACAGAAAAGTGAGCCCTAATGCAATTTTATAAATTAATTATATGTCCCTGAAACTTCCCTGTACATTGATCTTCCAGTTATTATTTTTAAAACATTATAGGCTCATGTAGTGTAGTGTTTTTGTAGTAAGAACTATTAAATATATTTAATCAATGACACAATTATCTAATGTAATATTAACATAAAAAAACAAACAAAAATACTACAATTTTGACACCAACTTTTAGATTGATATTAAGGGTCAGTCACGCTTCACATTTCATTCCACTGACTACTAGGCTTGCTGCGATAGACGGTGTTTTCGGTTATACCGGGGTTAAGCCGCAACACCGGTTACGTCATTTTGAAAAGCCTACTGACTGGAATATTTTTTTTTTAACATTCGTTTCTTATTTATTTGGTTCTACAGTGTTTACTGATTCCTTTATTTAAACTTTGTGTATTTTATTTATTTTATTTTACATCAATGTGTATATGCCGTGCCTCCAAGCTTTCTTATTCGTTATGCTAATAAACGTTCTATGTTTCTTATTTATTTGGTTCCACAGTGTTTGCTGATTTTCAGTTTTATATACCTATTTAAACTTTGTGTAGCCTAAGTAATTTGTTATTTTATTAGGCATATATGGTGTATTTTTATTCGTTTTGTTAAGAAAAGTTCTATGAGTTTGACGTTGTTGTTACTTGAATTGAATCAACGCCGAATTGCCGCTAATTTGAAAGTAAAATGCGCACAGCACTTTTACAAGCCATTTGAAAGTGAAGAAAATAGGGAAACTCAAACGAACTAACACCCCCACCCCAAAGGTGATACCGGTATTACCGGTGTTGTCACACGTCGATTAACCGGTGGGAACATTTCCTCACCGTCACAACCCCACTGACTACCATTCATCATATCATGTGAAGACGTGTAGGGCTGAAATGATTCGTTGACATTGTCGACAATAAAAAAAATTGTCGACAAATATTTGTGTTGTCGAGTAGTCGTTTGATCTCATGTGACCTAATGTACGGTCCTGCAATATCGCGATGTGACCACTACGCCGCTGTGGCACTAGAGTGTAATGCAGCCATCCCGAATGCTATTCCAGTAGAAGAAAAACATAGCGCAAATTATGGCCCTGTCCCAAATGGAAGACTTCATGTGCACTTGCGGTCTTACGGACTCACAATGGCCACCACGTGCGCGTGTCCGTTAAGTCCACGAGACCGTAGGGTGTCACATTCGTCATTTTAGCGTTCAAAAGGGTGCTCGCGAGCGCCCCCTTTGCGCCCTCAATGCGCACTTCTGCCGAGCCCGCACCGGGGAGAGCTCCGCAGCAGACTTCTACCTGACAGTCAAAGCAGCATTACGTCACGAAAGTGCGGACTCAGAGGAAGACCACGAGGTTTTAGGGCAGGGGTGTCCAAACTACGGCCCGCGGGCCATCTGCGGCCCGCGATCGTTCCTGTGGCAGCCCGCGAGGGATTTGAAAAATAATACGAATCTGGCCCTTTATAGTGAAAAATAGATCAAATTCACTAAATAACCATCAGGTGTCGCTATCACATGCAGCCAATGCAGTTAGTCAGACGTAGGCCTACGTTTATGAAGAGGCTAAAAAACAACAAATTATTGTTCATTATTTTGCTAAGTCATGGCGCAACAAAGAAAAAGGAAAATCGAAAGTGAATGCAGGAGATTTCAGACACGTTGGGGAAATGAATATTTTTTCACGGAGGTGAGCGGGAAATGTGTCTGTTTAATTTGCCAGGAGTCCGTTGGGGTGATGAAAGAATATAATGTTAAAAGACATTACGAAACAAAACATCAGTCTTTCAAATCTTACACTGGTGCTGAGCGCGATCAAAAGGTGAAACAACTGGCAGCTGCCTTGTTAGCTCAACAACAACAATTTTTTCGTGCTAATAAAGCACAGGAAAATTGTACATTAGCTAGTTATGAGGTAGCTCACCTAATAGCGCGGCACGGAAAACCCTTCACTAAAGGCGAACTTATAAAGGAGTGTCTGATGAAAGTTGCCACAATAATTTGCCCAGAAAAGATGCAAGATTTTAAAAATATCAGTCTTTCAAGAAACACAGTCGGACGGAGAATTGAAGACTTGTTGGCAAATCTAAAAGAACAAGTGACAGACAAAGTTCCCACGTTTGATTTTTACCCAATTGCGTGTGATGACAGCACTGATTCCACAGATACTGCACAGCTGTTCATTTTTTGCGAGGTGTGGACAGTGATTTTTGCATTTCAGAAGAGCTACTTGAAATGAAGAGCCTTAAGAGTACAACAACGGGAAAAGATCTTTTTGAAGCCGTATCATGTGCGATTGAAAACATGAATCTCCCTTGGGCCAAGCTCTGTGACATTACAACCGATGGAGCACCAGCCATGATCGGCGAGCGGAATGGAATGGCTTCCATGGTATGCAACAAAGTTTGCGAAAGTGGAGGTGAGGCTGTGAAAATGCACTGTATCATACACCAGGAAGCGCTCTGTGCCAAAGCCATCCAGATGGATGATGTGATGACCACTGTGGTAAAAACTATAAACTTGATTCGTTCAAGAGCGCTCAACCACAGAGAATTCCGGGCATTTCTGTCTGATATTGATGCAGAATACGGTGACGTAATATATCACTCTAACGTGCGATGGCTGAGTCGCGGCTCTGCTCTACAGCGGTTCTATTCGCTGCGGTCTGAAATTGACCAGTTTTTGAAAGAAAAAAATCTGACACTTGATCAACTCAATGACCCTGACTGGCTGGCAGACCTTGCTTTTTTAGTTGATTTGACCAGTTACCTGAACGCACTGAATAAAAGCCTGCAAGGCAAGGACCAGCTGATATCGGAAATGTATGCGCACTTGAAATCCTTTGCTGTGAAGCTAAGACTTTTTGAGAGACAAATCAGTGACCGCAATGCTGTGCACTTTCCTAGTTTGTCCGAAATCATCTCGAGTTTTTCAGACTCCAACATCCCTGGAAAAATGGATAAATATTCGACAGTGCTCACATCCTTAATCACAGAATTTAATCAGCGTTTTCAAGACTTTTCCGCTATTGATAGCGACATCAAACTGTTCTCAACCCCTTTCTCTGTTAATGTAGAAGAAGTACAAGAGAATGTGCAGCTGGAACTCATAGAACTTCAGTGCGATGATTCTCTTCGCAGCCGCCACCAGCTTCTTCCCCTGTCCGAGTTTTACAAGAGTTTGGAAACATCCAGATTCCCCTTAATCAAACGTCATGCTCAAAGGATGATGAGTCTGTTTGGCTCCACGTACATATGTGAGCAAACATTTTCGCTGATGACGCTGAACAAGAGTCCACTGAGAGCCAGGCTGACTGACAGCCATCTCTGTGATCTGCTTCGTATCTCTACTACACGACTTACTCCTGACTTGACATCAATTCTGAAATCCAAGGCACAACATCACTCTTCACATTAATAAGTTAATAATGGTGAGTACAAAAAATATTGAAAGCAATACATTGTAATGATTCTTAGATTAAAAAATTATATAATATCATGGGGCATATAAAAATATATATTTAGCGCACACATAACATTTTTAGACAATAGCATATTTAACATAAGCAGACAAAGACAAATTAATGGCAATAATCAAGTAGCTTGTCTAATAGTAGGTTTTTTTTTTTTTTACAGCCATGCGCCCCAAGACGACACATTTTTTTGCACCTGGCCCCCTGTGAAAAAAGTTTGGACACCCCTGGTTTAGGGTGCCATTTGGGACAGGGCCTATGACGGAGTGCAAATGAATCTGAACTAGCAAGGTGTGGGAAAGTTTCACAAAACTTAAAACCAAGAATGCTGTTGTGTGCAATACATGAAAGACCGAACTTGCATTTCACAGAAGCACAACGTGCATGTTGAAGCACTAAACCTAAACGTGAGCTGGAGCCAACTAACTAGTGGTAAATGTTTTTATTAGAGAATACAAAAATAGTAACAACAATAATATATTTACAATAACGTGACGACTCAGTTTGCATAAAATAAAGCTTGATCATGTCAGTTACTTTTTCATACTGTTAATTACAGGGTTCCCACTCTTTCATGAACACCAGATTCAAGGAGTTTCAAGGACTTTTTAAAGCACCATTTATTTTA